ATAATAGTATATTATTCAACGAGCGTATAATGATGGGTATTATTCACGAGGTGAAGTTTACGGCCACGAGCCGCAGGCGAGTGGCCTAAATCACCGAGTGAATAATACCCATTATACGGGAGTAGAATACTATACTTTATCCACGACTACTAAATATTTTTGTTGAAGTTTTTTTTGAAATGTTTCGAAAAACATGGTATGTTAAGAAACAGATATACGACTCGCACAAATGAAGTCGCTGATGGCTCAGTGTAGATGCTCTTTCCCTTCCAACCGCGGGTCCCGGGTTCGAATCCGGTCTAGGAAAATTCACTTTTTTAATTTTTTTTTATATGTACAGCACTGAATTGAAAATATTTAGTGGTTTACACGATAAAATTTTAAAAACGGATTGTTTGTAGCAGAACAATATAATATTATAGCTAAATTAAGGAAGCATCTGACAGTAGCGATTAATGACTCATTAATCACTGCCGTGATTAATGGGTATTATTAAGGTCGAGCAAACAGACGTATAATGGGTACATTATACAATAGTCGTGGTAGTTGTTCTGCTACAAACAATCCGTTTTTAAAATTTTATCGTGTAAACCACTAAATATTTTCAATTCAGTGCTGTACATATAAAAAAAAANCAAACGATTTCGGATAAAAGTTAAAATTATTTCTACTTTTTCCGACGTCGTATGAATTTAAAAAATTTCGGATGAATATGAGCGGTAAAAATTTGAATGTATATTAACCAATAGGAACACTTTCGGACCTTCGTATCGTCGGATTTCGGATGCATGGGACACCGGCCTCAGACTTCGCCCGCGAATTGATTGTGATTGGGGTTTAAGCCGTCTGATTTTACCACATACTTCTGTGGATTTTACCAGCAATTTCGTAAGTCAAAACGCAAAATTAATATTAGATAGATATTAATTATTAGAATAGTAGTTATAAACAACGCATACATGTCCTAAGTATAGATGACTAATTTCTTTCTCTTAAAAGAATTTATAATATCAATTGATTCAGCATTGAATCAACGGGAAAAAATAATAGCTTTGTTCCTTGAGAAATTCAAAACAATTTGCAACAGCTAGACGAAATCGCATTTGATTCGAAACAACGAATTTTGAATCTTATGTAAGCAAATCAACCTCAAGATATTTGAATCGACCATTTTGGGCCACTTACAATCGGTTCGGCATACCGATTAGAATCCCAGGGATACTAACGGATGAAAATCATCATAATTCATAGGGCGAGACCACGTGGACCACCTAGACTGGCTTATAGAGCGACTTTGGTGAAAACACTTTGGAGCCTGATTTGGAGCCCAGCGCTCAGTCGTGTCCTAGCATTTGACGTGTACGCATCGCTGTAATTTTGATAATTAGACGTTTTATCATGGTCAAGTGTATTGTAAAACATTGTATAAATAGAAGTGATCGAGTTGGTGAAGAGAGGCAAAAAG